TCCTGGGCCTTTCCTCACCACAGCAACGAACATCATACATGTAGTCGTCATACATAGGGTGCTCACGCTCGAGTTAGTCGTTGTCATAACGGCACCGTCGGAGGAAAAGGTGGAGACTTCCTCCTGGGTAATCCCGATTGCTGCATCAAAACATTAACTTCGTATCACAGAGTACAGACTGGCGCCAAGGATAATTGAGACCAGCAAAGAAGCGAGAAAGCAAAAGCCCACGTTTGTCACACAATGCTATAACACTACAACACCTTCCGGGGGTCACAGGCGTCGGAGTACTTTTCGAGCACGGGGGCCGACGGTAAGGCGGTGATCGACCTGTCCTGCGGGAGCGGTCTCATGATGCGAAGGCTCGTCTCCTCGGGCAGGTGAACCTTAGTCTTAGTCCTTGCACACACCCAGGCAGCAGTTTCGCTGGTTGGTCCTGTTTTAATATCCTATGCCAGCACAGCCGTGGCTCCGATGCAAGAGGGTGGTGTGACAAAGGCCCTCAAACCTCAAAATCGGAGCCCCCTCTATACCGGAATTTGAAGGTGCCATCAACAATACTACAGTAGTAGAGGGTCGAGTCCGTGGCAACCGATTCAATTCTCTTTATCTTGTATCGGAGCCACCTCTGTAGATGAAAAAAACACGTCTGTCGTTCGTTGTGTTGGATAGGTTTCGCGAGCCTGAACGCATTGTTGTGTCGTGAGGGATGTGAGTTTGCTGCCTAGGGCAGCTAGGCTTACGTTTAGGCACGCCCGTGTGTGACCCGTCGCCCAGCAGGAGCTTCAGAGAGAGAAGTAGACACTCAATCGCACGCCACACCCACACATTTAACGCCAAGTGTTTTGGTCCACCCCCTCTTGCTCCACGTTTTTGAGCAGGTATTCCCGTGTCATTGGAGGAGACCTGTCGCCCACCATGTTGGCTGAAACTGCTCGGCGCTTCCGGGAGGAGGACTTGGGGGCTCCGGAGCTCATCAGGCACGTTGTTCTTGCTGTTTTGGCCAGACTATCTCTGTTTTTTTCACCCCACCCCGTGGAGAATATCCGGTTCTCACATTTTTAGTCGGGCATTTTCTTAACTTTTTCTGTAACAACGTTTCAAGGATTGGACCCCCGAGCCGCCGAAAAGACGCGCAACGAGGTCTTTTTTTTTTTGTCTTCACTTCAAATCAGCGCTCACAGCACTAGTGCCGTTTTACTCCAACCCGTGGTCACACAGAAGAGCTCCTCTCTACCCTCCCCTCCTGCGGTACTTTGCCTACGATTTTTAATGCGTGAAGAGTTCAGCACTCTCTTCCCTCTGTGTACACACGAACTAGCGCTATCCACTAGGCCAGGAGCGGAAGCGAGAGAAAAACTCACTCTGCAAGAAAAGCTCGCTGTCACCGGGATTCGAACCCCTGACCTGACCTCTAGAAGGTTTCGAGGATACCAACTAGACCACCGGGGCGAGCTTACACCCCAACCGAAGGAACTTGGCGCTAGGAATTGGCTAACTTGACTGGCTGGCTACTGTTGGAGGCGGATGCCCCAAACCCTGACCATGGTCTCAAAAAGATTCATACTTGAAGTATATAAAATAAATAGATAATGCATAAACAGATGGTCTCAGTTGTAGCTGTAGCCATTCGATCTTTTTGGGGAAAAACGGCGGTTTGTATGAGTCCGATACCCCTGAACACGGAGTCTTTGGCATCCCCGCCCACTGCTCCACGGCCCCAGGTGCCTCAAGAAAGATTAGTGCTGCCCGACTAGCTCCCTTCTGCCAGGAGAGCAAAGAGCCAGCTGCCCGCAACAAAGTAAACCCTCGCGCTCCAGAAGCGGAACCTTCGATCCTCGACTCGCACGCGCTGCCTATGTCCCGTGTTGTTTCATCGTTTTACACATACTGCATACAACCTCAGAAAAGGTCCCAAATGAAGGAATGGAGATGTTGGTTTCTTGATTCTTGTCGCAGTCCTACCGCGGTCCTATGCCACACCACAGGCGCACTCTACGTGTACACACGGCCCTACAGCGCCCTAATAACTGCAGTTTGGCGTGGCTTGCACGAACGGCTTGTCCCTAATCCTCGAACCCCCAACATGCAAACCGTTTCTCAGGTGCGACGTCAGCCGTCTGCCGTTGAAGACGGAGTCCCTCGACGGCGTCCACGCGGGTGCGGCTCTGCACTGCTGGAGCAAGCTGGAAGAGTCGCTGTCGGAGGTACACCGGGTGCTCAAGCCCGGCAGAGGGTTCTTCGCCACAACCTTCCTCAAGTGGGTGTGCCAACAGTCTCCCGATGGATGTGGCGCTCGACAGCATCCGTATGATAGCGCCATTCAATACGCTCTCTTGGTTGATTGACACAGCACGTAATAACTAGACAACGAGAGAGAGAGGGGATGAGAGGCAGGACTGATTGTAGCTGCGGTTGAAGAACGATTAAGCTCTCTTGGCTGAGTGACCTGGCTCGCCGCCCGGCTGGCTACAATACCTGTACCATTTCGTTTGCTGCGCCGGCGATAGTGGTAGGTCCCAGAGCGGGAGGCTTATGTGCTCTTCAATACTTGACTGATGTCACCGCTCACTCGGGCGTCTGAGCTGTTCTTTTTCTTGCGTCTGCATAGCTTGTGGCTCCTCATACCTGAAAAAAATCACCGCCCGGCCCTCATTTGTCCCTTCGTTGTCATTGCTCTGTGGCAGCTCTGCTGTCCTTGGAAATACCGCTGGAAATACCGTTGGAAATTCCCGGAGGAGGGATGGGTTCAAGTTCTTCGAACTGGCGGAGCTGGAGCAATTGATGCGCAACGCTGGTTTCGAAGACGTGAAGGTTGGTCGGGTTAGCAGAGCAAAGCTCCTGCACCGTCTGCTAGTATAACAATCCTCACCAGTGGCTATTCGTCGCCAAAAAACTTCGTTGCGGTCGTCTTCGGCTTTTTTCTTGCGTCAAGGTGGAGACCCTGCCTCTCGAGGCACGCACCACGAACCCAAAGCGAGCCCCCCCTTTTTTCTCTGCGCCTCACCATCTGAAGACGTACGTGCCATTAATACTCCTTTCCCAACGCAGTGGCTAAACTACCTCCTCGTCCTCTCCCCCAACGCTTTGTTCTGCAAACCGCAGGTGGTAAAGGAGGGGCGTGCGTGCGCAATTGTTCGGGCCACCAAACAGGCGGAATGAGACGTCTCGCAGCAGTTAGTGATATGGAACAAGATTGCACACCCAATCGTTGGTGTCGAGTATGTTGTCAGGTGGCATGGCGTCTCGTTGTTGTCGGTCGGAAGAGCACATTTCCGTCACCCATGGAACCCGGCCGATGCTTCAGAAACGTAGACGGAAAAGGTGTGTGGGCTGGTGCAAGAATTGACACACGTGAGTGTGCCGAGGTCTCGAGGTTTTGAGTGTTACTTTTCGTGGCGAATACTCCGCTAAGGGTATGTTCTCGTAGTTCTTTGCCACGAGAATTGCCCCCGGTACAATTTTGAACGGTGTAAAAGGCGACCTTATTCGTGGTAGGTGGGTTTGGTGTAGAAAGAACGCGGAAATTTGTTGTAAGAGGAGATTGGAGGGAAGGTTCGTAAGTATCGTGGATGCCCGACCATCTGCAACAACTTTGTCGGGATTGCGTGTACCGGGAATCAGTTTCCCACTTGGATTTGGGAGCAGCCCGTGTTCTCAGTTGGCAAGGTAGGGTGTGGCACGCTGTATTTGTGCTTTGAAGGCATTTCTTGAAAACGTTGTCAATATTCCATGCAGAGAGGTACTGTGGAGCGCGTGGTGGGGAATTTCTGCCAAACACGGCGGGCAATGCAATACGTTTGTTACTCATACGAGGGAGGTGCGACCCTTACTCTTTTTTCTTCTTGAGGCCTGCAGACCCTTGCTTGCAAAGAAATTGGCCTGGTCTCTGCAACTGCAGCGCGCAGGCTGTTCCCGGGTGCAGAGACGCAGGATGCCAGCGAGCCTTGTCGCTCGTACAAACACGTGGCGGGTAGGTGTCTCTCTGTGTTGCTCAGATCTTGCGTCGCGTGGTAGCTGTACACAGCGGTATGTGTGTGTGCTTTGCGAATAAGCTCTTGCAGAGAGAAGCAGAACACGCGCTGATGTATTTTGTACGGCATAGGCAACAAAATTTCTACACAACAGAGGCGAAAACTGCGTGGCCCTATGCATTCGGCAGCGGCAAAAAAATACACAAGCAAGAGCGAGGGTTCACGACTACGCTATTTGTTGTACTTGCGCGGCGCCTCGGGGAATGCCTGCTTGCCGGTACAAGGTTTGGCGCACTCGTCGCGCGAAGCGCTGTGCCTACGCCTGTTGCCCTTTTTACATGGCGTCGTCGTTTCCTGCTTCCATCTCGTTCTGGGCGCCGGCCTCCTGCATCTCGAACGAGGTCCGCCGTGAATTGAAGCGGGCCCATGCCCTGCTCTCCCTGGTCTAGGCCCTTCTCCATCGTCCTCGTCGCCGCCAGAATTCCTGTCGTGGAGCGCCAACCTAATTTCTCCATGTGCCTCCTTGAAGAATATACGGTCTATGATCGGCGGCGTGAGGAGTTTCCTTGCTCCTGAGCTGAGCTGCGGAAGTTGCATGTCCGGGTAGAGGAGACGGGACAGCTCCACGCCGTTGGTGAAAACCTGGGGGGCCTCTTGGGTTGGTGGCGAGGTCAACGAGCAAATCCTTCATCTCGAGTTGTTCTGGCTTGCATGGAAAACGGCAACCCCGTTCTTTGGACGGGCTCCGCGTGGATGTCGGTGAACAGCTTTTGCCCTTGTTAACTGCACCTCTTCCGTTTATTGCTGGTAGCGGTAGCGTATTTCCGCCTGGTTTCCGCTCTGGCCTCTTTCTGCTCCTCATTCGTGAGCAGCAGAGGCATGATGATCAGACCGACCAAACCGTTTTTGTCGTCCTCGTGCTCTCCCTTGATGTTTCATTTCATGCCACGCGCCTGTTATCTGGCAACCAGCGATATCGGACGTACCCTCCGTTTGCTTCGCGCCTCTGTTTCATTCGCGAGCACGATGTCAGGGTGGGTACCCTTGCGGGAGGGGGGTTGGCGGCAAGTGTTTGAAGCACACGTCCGCGCCGTCGTCGTGAATGTCCAGTACCTTCACCACGACATCAGTCATGTTCCTCGTCGGGGCAGATAAGGGGATACCACACCGCCGATGCCCACGGGCATCCGTATTGATTGGGGCCTCTCCTTAGGTTGTCGTCTTGGCCGAAGTGAAGGTTTAGTCTGTGCGTCGGTTGTAGAAAGGCTTCGTGCGGATCATAGAGGTCGTTGCCGTCGTGGTTTGCCCCCCATCCACCTGCTGCTCATCCTCCTTGGGCCATGGTCTCTTAGCGTGTCAGCGTGTGAGATGCATGAAGCAGATGTTCCTGTTTGTGTCTCACGATTGGGTCCCTCAAACACAGCACTACATACAGTATATATGCTCGAGAACCTCTTCGTACTCTTGAGACATTCGAGCTTAGGCTATATTGTATATACCCCCCACGTGTCACACGAAACGTGTGACGTCCCGAATGTATATGCCGGTTAGCGCGGTCGACGATTATAGTGTAACGAAGACACCGCCGAAGGGTGTTACGCCCTTTCTTTGTGGCCCCGGGCTCCCCGACTCGCGCGTCCAGAACTCACCGACCAACAGATAAATCTAAACCGGAAAACCTGAGATCACGAAATGGAATTTCCTCGCTTGATGTTGGGTTGATGTTGTGTGTATTGTTCCTGTTGTGGAGTCCGAAAGAATTCCCTGTATGCCAGCTCTGCACAAACAGATATACAGACATGCAAACCAGGCGTCTTGCGTGCAGACATGACACAGCAGTGACAGCGTGACAGCACATTTGAGATTGACTGCTATCGACTGAACCAGGTTCTGATCTGGAACCCGCAGTTGTGAACCTGGTTCTTGGAGCTCGAAAAAGTGGAAGTTCGTCTGAATTGATGCGCTTGACGCTTGACGCTTGACGCTTGACGCTTGACGCTTGACCTACGTAGCACCTGGTGCTTCACGCCAGCACAGCAGCACAAACGAACAATCACGAGGGCTGAAGTACGTATTCAAGGCCAGCCCTCTTCGGCGATTGCGAAGAAGAGCGGAGGGTGAGTTTGTGTGTGTCACTCGGTAACAAATTGTTCCGTGGTTTCCCCGTTTGCGTGTTTGTTGAGTCACGCTTAGCGTTGCCCTTTTGCGCTGTCGCCAAGCACGAGGGTCCCCGAGAGCTGTGCCGAAAAATCCTAGGAGCTAGCTGCGCTGTGCAGGTTCTGACTGCCTCGGTTGACGGAGGAAGCCTTGTGGGATGCACATCACCTCCTACGTTGCGTGTTTCGGAACGACGCACATCTACAACAGTAGAACGACTAGCGTTCGGGGTCCTCGCCATGTGCGAACTTCAACAGATCCAAGACATCATAAAAAACGTGGCAAGCTTCTTCTTTATGAGTGCCAGCAAATCGACGTGCCCAAGACACAGGCCCGTTTTATCTGTTGTAGGGGAACGAGCACTGCAACAAAACTGACACGCTTTGCCAAATGTTACAGCAGTGTTGGATAAGCGATTGGTGTGTGCGTCCAATCTGGCGGAGCACCCATTCATACGGCAATTTTGTTGCAAGACACAGGAGAACTTCCAACAATTATCTACCAATGTTTTAGAGGGGTAGAGCCGGGTAGATACCCATCTCCCACCAATCACACGTCGATTTTGAAAGACATTTTGCAAGACAGGGACAGATGAATGGGCGATGGGCACAACGCTCTCGGGAGAATCCCAAAAATCCTCTTGCACAGCAGCACCACACACACCACGCAGACACCGTACGAGACACCCAGCACAGTAGCATACGGACTGCTGTAGTCCAAGGGCAGCCAAAGGCACACCTCATACGAGGCGTTGGGTGTGACTCCTACAGCCCGTTGCCTGCTGTCGGCAGCACAAACAAGCGAGTGACCACGCAAGTCAATATGCGGTCCGTCTGCATTATACTCAACCTACCTATCTTTGGAGCTTCCCACACAGACGCATCCCCACAACAGAGACAACGAGACGTACACACTGCTGTAGGCCAAGGCCGGCCAAAGGCACACAACATGGCTGGCGTCGGAAGCTAGTTTTAGACCCCGAGGCCTGCTGCTAGCAGCGTAAAAGCGAGGGAACATGCGAGGGTACACAAGTCAAATCTGTCTGCGACCTGTCTTCGCCTGCAGGCCGATCTTTGCTTCACCACAGAAGTACCCCCGAAACAGAGACAAGTGAGACGCACACGACGCTGTGGGCCAAGGGCGGCCAAATACTTGTATACACATCGTAGGAGGCATCGGGGGCGACGTTTAGAGCCCGTTGCCCGCTGCTAGCAGCGATAGCCAGGAAAGCAAGTGCACACACGCGCATCCTGCACGGCAGCAGCAACAGCAGCAGCTACATGTAGCTGATGATTATGAGAGCTAAACAGCGCTCTCAGTCATCCCCTGGCTGACTGGTGGTGTCGGGTGAGGTGTGAGAGTGTGCACTGGTGACCTCTGCGGTGGCGTAGGCTTCGTCCATATCTATCTACGCTTTGATGCCTCTCTCCGCCCCTTCTTTTCGCGCTTCGTGCGAAAATAGTTTAATTTGTTTTTGTTGGACCCTCATGTATGGGAGGTTGGCCTCCAATCTATCTAAGCAACGGCATGCGTCCGCTCTATTGGGCTGGACAGATTTTTCTTGATAGCAGACAGAAGTTCTTGACAGAGGCCCGCACGCCCTTTGTTTTGCTTTACTAGGCCAGCCTACGCGGCATCACTTTGCATTGCTGGGGAGCAACTAGAATGGCGAGCTCCGCGCTTCCAATTGCGGTTGCGGTTGAAGGTAAACCAACAGGTACGTCCGTCCAACGACTTGTATTGCGGCGAGTTTCTACTGCTGTACGGCGGTAGCGCAGAACTACCATTGTACCACCAGCATCAACCCAAGGAAGTCTGCTGCCCGTACTGTAGGCATGCAATCAGCCGTTCGCCCCTTTCTAGCGATGGAGATACCCGGAAGAGACACATGTTTTGACTTAGTATGATTTTCTTGTCGAACCGGCACTGTCTGGGCTTACACACACGTGAGCATGCTGTCGTGCAGCAGAGACCCCAATTGTCATCCTAGCGACGCTATACGCCAGCGAGAACGGTGCAACATGCGTTTGAACGGCCCTCCTTGCCTGCAGTAGCCAACTGCTGTGGCAGCGCCAAATATCTGAGAGCAGTGCGCACACTACAGTACACATGCAGAGAATACCGGGTACTTGGGACCGTTTGCGGCGGTGACGTGGTTCAAGGACATTTACAACATGGAGTAGGCCATATCGTCGACAAGGGTCCTACAACAAGGGGGCTGAATTTGTTTTCTGCGTGGTCCACATTCTTGCGTGCCGTACTGTCAACACCCTAGGAAGTGGCGTTGTGTATTCAATTGCAGACGAGGACGACAAGGCGCCGCTCCTCGTGTTGCACCACCATACCAATGGCCGCGCATGGTTGAGAGGTGACGGGGGACCCTGGGAGGGCTGGGGGCTTCAGGATCCGCTGGAGAGGTGGTCAGGCGTGGCTGTACAGGGCGAGAGGGTCGTCGGTCTCAAGCTTTACCTGTGCAAACTTATGGGTAGGTGCAACGGCTGCTTTCCCTTGGCCGCCGGTTGTTCCCGCTCACGAAGGTTTTGGGGATGGGTCCCGGACGAGTGTTTAATGCCAAGGGGAGAATTGGAAACATTTCCCACAGTCGTGGACGGATGCACACGAAGAACGGGTTTCGTATGTATGTATCAATGATCTTGAGCGTGTGGGGGGGGCGGTACCTGAAACATGGTGAGCTACTGTAGCTCGTGGGAGTCTACGTCCGACTCGTAACCAATGCAACCCCGACAGCAGCCCAATCACTCGTGCAGGGAAGAGGGAGTGCGCAATGCTACCGTGGTTCAAGGTTTTGTATGACAGAGGTGGTAGCTTGAAAATCCCGCCTCAGAGAGAAAACCTGTCTGCCAATCCCGTGGCGACTCAATCCTTACCCTATTTGATTTCACAGGTCTTGCGAACGAACAAGCAGGGCACTGCTCATTTATCGAATATGAAGGTGCGGTATTGGTGTTGGAAGTCACTTTCCACGCGGGACATCACCCTAAACACGGCATGTATATCTCACACGTTCAACCAACAGGATTCATCCCGCAAGAGCTCGGAAGCCTGTCCTGCTTGCTGTACTTGGACCTGGGGCACAACCAATTATTCGGTAAGTGAGGAGGTCCTTCGAACTTAGCCATCCCCCCCGAGAATGCAGTTCGGAAACGTTCAATGCGACAAGACGTTAAGCCTAGAGCTTCCCACTATCAGGCGAACAATGAAGATTTTCCCAGGGGCAGGACGTAAATGCTGTGTGCGGTGCACGCGCATGTTGATCGTGGCCTAGGGCTTACGGCGAGACGATTCCTAACACGTTCAGCTTTTCGCAGCTTTTCGCACGTAGGGTCCACAAGTTCTCGCGTCTATGGATCAAGCCGCAATTACGATGTATTGTCCTATGTTTTGCAGCTTGGGCTATCGGCTTAAAGCACGTGCAGTCATTCATCATGAAAAATTGAAGTATGAGACACGAAGAGGTTCTCTTGGCTCCGTTCGTTGGACATGAAGCGACTACGTGCAGGACCTAAGCACGTTAAGCCGGGATACGTTGGAAGACTGTTGGTCGGCGAGACAACACCGGGTAACTCGTTGTGTGTTTTTCGGAAGAGACGGAAACACTGAGATCGACTTCAGGAAGCCAAGCGTATGCTGCGCACGATACTGTGAGCACTGTTTCAGCTCTTGGACCGAAGTATTGTCACCCAGGAACACCGACTTTGCTTGGCGCACGTTTTCGGCTCACAATAGCTTCCCGAATGCTTGTGGCTTTGGACAGGAACGATCCCACCGGAATTTGGGGCACTAAGGCAATTAAGGACCTTGGACCTATATCACAATCAGCTATCAGGTCCGTTTGGTGGGGTGTGCGAATCCGATGAGGGTGTATGGCTGCATTATAGAGAGTGTCGTCGATCGCCTATTTTTGCAAATTCGAAGGGTACGTAGTGCTAAGCTCCGCATGTTCAGTCTTGGTGCCTTCGGCAGCGTTTTCTGGGTGCAAGGGTTGTGAGCACGGCTACGTTCTTGTACCTCAAGAGCTGCATGCTTCGATTTATCATCCGCCATGCAGTATATCAGAATAGGAGGTACGCTGACGAATTCGCGTCTTCTATATCGCAAGAGGAAGTACTGAGGACAGGCAGCTTGTACCGTAGGGTGTGCGCGACATCCACCCTGCCAGCGCGTGGGCAGGACATGGGTCTTATCGGCCACACTCCGAGACGAAACCCACAAGCAGTGCGATCATCCGACTTTCATGGTGCGATCAACGGATGCCCGTTCCCTTGTCGATGTTTCCGGCTCGCGCAGGGCCCATCCCCGAAGAACTGGGAGCTCTCAGCGAGTTGAGGGAGCTCAGCCTCGGTTCAAACCAGCTCACAGGTACGGGGCACGCTCAAGGCTTGGTTCGTCGTCGTCTGAGGACGTTTTTCAAGAGTGACGGGCTTGTCCTACTGTAAACCACTACAGAGCGAGCTTCTTGTCCTACTGTAGACCACTACAGAGCGAGCTTAGGCTTACCCAAGGTTGCCGTGAACGGTATGGCAAGGCAGGAGCAGACGTCGAACACGATAAGCTGTGTCGTTCTTCTGTGCATGTGCCGTCTGGATACAGGGTTGTTGCTAAGGATTTACATGTCTGCACATTTTTCTTCCTCGACGTCGCTTCTTTCCCTCGAACTGCAGGGTCTATTCCTGCCGCCCTGGGCCGCCTTGGTTCACTGCAAGTGCTACGGCTGACGGACAACATGCTTTCTGGTGTGTAGGGCTCTGCCTCTGTAGTCATACAGCGACTCTTCCTTGCACGTACCTATGTATGGGCCGAAGCACTGGGAGGTCAGGTTGTCGCATAGTGTTCTTGTTTCTGGTACGTAGACCCACACCAAGTTGCCAAGAAAGCTAGCGGGAGCACAACGTCCGGCAACACATGGAAGGGCAATCCGAAGTCGGTGTGGGGTATCACGAAACGCCTCCCGTGGTTGGCATCGTGCTGCCGGTTTCCGTAGGCCCCACGATAGCGACGGATGCTTTCACTCGCGCGCGACCAACATCTGGAGTAACAAGTCATGACGCAAACGTGGTCACAATGGCGTTACGGCTGGAAGGGCTGCGGCGGTGGATGCATACCCTTCATTGGCTACCGTTTGGCGCGTTTCCGCACGCGACCCGCATGTTTGTTTTTCGCAACGTTTCTGAAGCAATGAGCGTACCATGATACCATCTTAGACCAACACTCCATTTTTTCATTTTTTTCCCCTCTCCATTGCCCGTCTGACCGACTGGCTCTTCACCGTAGGTGCCATTCCGTGCGAACTTGGTCAGCTCATTAACTTGAAGGTGCTGAAGCTGAACGGAAATGAGCTTGCAGGTGAGCCTTGTCCGCCCGTTATTTTGAGGCCCCCTCGTCAGAGAAAGGGCCTTTGTATCACGTGCGTTCTGGCGTCGAAATCGGCGTCGTGATGTATGTTTTAAGCTGGAAGTACCGCTAACTACTTGGGGTATCAGCTACTGAACTTTGCGTGGTTGGATACAGTCTCTTGTTCGGTAGAAAGTGGTTGAAGGCCGAAGATTGTGAGTTCAGGGCGCGATCAGCATGGTGCTGTCTTGCTGGCGATGCCGCTGCCATAATAGGTTGGAGTGCGCGGCACATAGTAGATGATTTTCCGTTTTGGGGTCCGATACTAAATAGTAAATCGCAGACATCAGCTGACCTCAACCAAGCGAGCTGCCGCCCCAAGACCTTCCCCCGTGTATGACCTCTTGCGTTGTATTGCTAGTACGAGCCGCATAGGGCCCAACATGTGCACGAAGGTTACGTGACTTTACTGGCTTGGTTTCACTGGCAGGTTTGGGCATCGCCGGCACCAGTTGGTTCAGCGCTATCGCCACGTCTGTCTCTGGGATGCACCATGCCTATCGTGGCCCGACCAACGGAGACCGTACAGAATAAATTTCCTGACAAGAAATGCCCCCAACATCCGTTATTTTCCACTGCCAAGCAGGCGAGATTCCAAAGGAACTAGGATCGCTTTCGGGGCTGGTGAGCCTCTGGCTAAACAAGAACAACCTGTCCGGAAACATCCCTCAGGCCCTGGGGGCCTTGCATCTTTTGGAAAACCTTTGGCTCAAGGACAACAAAGAGCTGAAATGTGAGCACGGCTTTAGCCGCAGATACAGGCAGAGAGCGTGAGGAGATCATATTGATTTTTCGGGAGAATGCGGCCGCTCCCCCCGGCAAATCGATTCGCTCTACGGAGATACATAGCACAGTGCCACGATGTTCATCTGACCAGTTACTCCTGAGCCGTCTAACGTGACAACTTGGTGGGCTCGGTCGCTATTTAAGTGGCAGACTGTAGATGGAGCACGAGGAGGAAATTTGAAAGCATTTTCACACGTGTACTGTATTCGTCATTCGTTGTGAGAGACTCTGGCTTGATCACGGCACCATATGTTGGCGGTTTGTTTTTGCTCTAGCAACGACAACATCAATACAACGAAAACCATACTTGCATTCTAGAAAAGGAGGCGGCTGAGCTAGAAGTAAAAAACGCCAACGCGGAATGAGCGTTCGTTGCTCTTTGAAACGGAGCAATGACTTGGGGAATACAGAACGGAAGCAGAGGATGACAGTGTAGGAGAAGGATACCATGTTCTCCTGGCCTTGACCCTTCACAAAACCAAAGCTGTGCCAGCGGCGCGGTGTTGCAATGTGGGCCGTTCACGTATGTCGTACAATCGTTAACGCTCTGGTACGTGTTCCATTCCTGGCGGTATATATCTTCGTGGTTCTCTTGCGGCTGTTGTGGTCTCTCACGTTGGTTCGTCAGCATAGCATGTGCAGGGAGCAGCTCTGCCAAAAGGAGCGGCGATCCAAACGCAACCGAAAGCCCAGCTCTTTTTTTGTCGTCGACGTACGCACTTTGCCGCTTTCAGACAACAGCGCAATCACCACTTTGCGTCCCCATCCAATAGTTGTCCTTCGAAATTCCTTGGTAACAATGAAACTCCGGTTTGAAAATGTTTCGCGCGCAGACATACCGATGGTGACCAAGATGCAGCTCCGGAGGAAGATGAAGGGCGAATGCGACATCCGCCTGTGAACATGAACAACACCTTCGTGTTTTCTCACGGGTGGAAAAGTAATAGTCCTTTCATGTCCATCGAGTGCCTTCAGGACCAAGTCTAAAGCCGATTCATGTCAGTGCGGCGGACGGGTCGACTTGACCTGGAGGCCCTGATAACCTGGAACAGCAGTGGCTTTGAGTGGTCGCACTGAAAACGAAGTTCGCGATGTGTAGCTGCTGTTCCGCACGAGCTGAGGACCGTGCATCGTACGCCTCGTATGTGCTGCCTTCCTCAAAGCGCAGGCGCTCGTTTGGCCAAAGAGTTATGTTTGGAGGTTGCGAAAGGAGACCAAACGGTGTTGATCCTTGATCCTACACTTGAAGAATCGAGGTCACGTTGAGCAGCGAGGTTGCTAGGCAGGCTGTACGCCACGACCCGGTACACGGACACGGAGCTTGAACTGAAGTAGTGAATCGCCCGATTCTGAGTGTTCTAAGGGTGGACGTGGGCACAGGTGCTTCGGGATGGACACAGGCACCAGCGAGGAACGCAAAGCTCGGAAGTAAAGTACACACATAGTACGTCGCCCGATTCTGTGCATTTGAAGGGTGGTCGCAGGCAAAGTTGCTTCAGGATGAACACAGGCCTCAGCGAGGAACGCATGCGCCACGGGTTGAGTACACAGTGTGGTATGTACAAAATTAGAAGTACCGGTTGACGAAGGCCGTGGTCAATGACAAGACTCTAGCCTCAGCGCGACCTGCCTGCTTGGGTGCACTCTCAAGATACGTGCCGTGTATGGAGAGAGTGCCGAACAGCAAAGTTCGACCCTCTGGTCCACTCGGTATCTTGACTCAAACGGGGCATGTGCGCTACTACCCATGATCTGCTCGATGTGCGCAGTCCGATTGACAGGACAAAACTCAAGAACAAGCGCACACCCTTAACCCTTACCAGAGAACGTTTCGATGGAGATAGTATAGCGAAAACCTGAGCATCTAGGGTGTTGTACAAAGGCCAAGTGCGTTCGGTAGGGTACAACCAGGTTTCCCAACATTTCGCCACCTTGTGGTCGCATGGGACTAAACGAACAACCAGGCCACGCTCAGGTCGCGGCGGCATCGGGGCTATTTCGCCGCGGCCACCGAACAAGTGCAAGAAACTCAGCAACCGTCACGGCCTGGTGAACAGCAATCTGCGGAGCCCCCTCTTGTCAGAACCATCAAGCTCGAGCTGGTTCGCCTCGGATCTAATTCTAAGTCTGAAACTACTAGTTCCCTGTACAAATTTCCGGTCCCGCGCACGGCAAAAGTAGCTAAAATAGTCCCCGCGAAACGAAGATCCCGGAATGCGCAGACAGGAAAATAACAATGCCTCTCCTGACCGGTGATCAATAAAGCGCCCTTGGCCTTTAGCAGACGCAGCCTCCCAAAGCATGGTGAGATGCTTCCTACAGATGCCTGCTATGTCTTCCTTGACGGCCGGCTGGTATAGCATCCCATAGGTTTAACGAAGCGATAGCACTGCCAGGACAGGGATCCGAGGACCGAGCATGACAGCCATAAGCACAGCAACACGGAGGGTCAGACGGTACCGAATAAGAACAGCGTTAGGTCGAAGGAAGCTCGTGATGGGCGATTTGCGCCAAAACTGAACTGAGAAGTTCTGACGTTGAGATGCCAGAAAACCTGAGGTGCACGCCATAAACCAACCCATAGTTTGTAAGGGCTGATAAATGTATCTGTTTTTCGAGGGTGAGCTGACAACAGTGCGGCGGCAGAGAAGCACCAAGGTGAACGTCGGGTGTATGTCTCCAACAATACGCACCATCTTCAATGGCACGACCTGTCTCCTGTGTCACCCATGCTGACACGTCAAACGTACACTACTAACCTCAACGTGTGTAGGCTGGTGCCAGAATTGATGGGACGGACGCATACACGAAAGCACATCGTCATATGCAGACGTGTACGAAAGCGAAACTCAAGCAACAGCTGGACAACAACCATTGAGCTTGCCTGCTAAGTTCGTCGTCACCGCAGTTCATGAACACTTTGGCGAGCGGGTACGTTAGCTTCTGCCTCCCCATGATCTCCTCCAAGAGCTGCCTAGCTGTATCCTGCCCCACCCCCCTGAGGTCCACGATTTTATCTGCGTGCTCCGCCAGGACTTGTACGCTGCGGTAAGAGCGATCAAATACAAGTTCAGAAATGGAGCAGCGGAGACACAAGAAGGCGTATGTGCAGTAAGGGCTTGCGCACTACAAGGGCGAAGGGTATCTGCGGGAGCAGGGGGCGCAAGCCCCAGGGTAGCTGCAACATCGAGGGTGCGGGAGACCAGGCTCTCTAGGGGTCAACGGAAAGCGTAGCGCGTTGTGTGGCAGCGAATCCGATAATGTGAGCCGACAAGTCGACAAACAATGAAGGCCATCCAACCGCGATCGATCTTCCACAGAAACGCGTCAACGTCACATCCGCAAACAAAACTCACAACAAGTCGGTCTCACCAGCAATATCTCAAAGTTGGCGCCTGGTAGACTCGCGGAGCAAGTTTCATGATCCTGTGACTTGCCGTTCGCACTTCTGCTACAGGGGCAGCAGGGGACGGAATCGACCCAGCCCCTCCCCCGCCTACCTCTCGTCGCCTTCTTGGCGACATTGTCGAGGACGGCTCTTGTTCTCTCACCCCAGCGAAAACCGGCGCTGCCGCGCTGCTTGCCGCAGTCGACGATGCTGCCGAAGACGATGGGGATGGTGGCGCCGTTGATGCTGACAAAAGGATAAAGGAAAGCGTAAGGGATGGGTGTCGGTACGGAGAAAGGCACCTCGAACTCGATCATCCGAGCAACAGAAACTAGGGACTCCGTCACGTGCTAATGTTGATACAATATTGCTGCTGAGGAAAATTGCTCGGATCTTTGCGTTAGAGGGGCTGCTCTGAGGAACGCGTGGCGATGTCGACAAGAATCAAAACAAATCGCCCCCCGTCTTCTAACGACGAAGAAAACGAAGAATGCATGAGGCAGTCATTGCCGTAAGTCATATTGCCGTATGCGGGTGCGGTTCTGTAGTATTCTGACTCCAAAACCGAGCATCATTTAACGTAAGTATTGGGTTGGATGAGGGCTCCTGCGCCGGGCAGGAGTCCTCGCCTGGTATGCCACCCCGCGCTGGAAGAGAACACTCAAGGCGTCTCTCCCCAGCGCGGAATTCGTACCGGTAAAACATCTCGGTATGAACTCAAACGTACTAGTCAAATATACGCTTCAGGCCCTCGCCGGGTGGGTGGGATGGTCTCAATAGTTTTGCGATCAAAGCTGATCAATAGTTTTCGGAGCGAAAGAAGGGGGTGATCTCTTTCCACACACATATCCCCATACATTCGATGAGATCCATGATTCCACCATTTGTTCCAAATCTTGGAACCATCCGGTCTGATCGGAGTTTTACTATATTTCGTATTCTGACTCCAAATCGAGGGTCATTTAATGTAATGTTAGTATTGGATTGGATGAGGCCTCCTGAGCCGGGCCGTGGTCCCGTCCATCCTTCGTTGCCTCCTTTGATTTCTCTCTCTACCCCGGCGAGACGGGGACTCACCCAGACTTCCTTCACCTGTACCGGTACCTACTGACGTCCCGCGCATGCGGCAAACTCTTGTCTGAACTCCGGAGACAGGGGCATGTTATTCGCATCGGCGTAACTCTGCCCCCGGCCCCGCTTGCTACCCGACAGGCGACCACTAGTGGCAGCTCCAATGTAGTGCCGCGCCACCGACTCCGTCTTCCAGCCCCCAATCTGCATGATTTCGTCTACCGCCGTCCCCACCAGCGACTTGCTGAGGGAACCGCCTACACGAAAGGAGTGCATGGTAAACTGCCTCGGCGGCTCAGCCACCCGCAAATGATTCTGTACGGAGGCCGTCATGTCGGCCGCGGTAAGAGGGAGGTCACCCCTCTCACCCTCCGCCGTGACCGTCGGGAATAAGTGCCCCCCTCGACAGGTCCCAACCGACGCGCTCAGCGGCCGAGATGTACGCCGTAACGGAGCGAAACGCACAAAGTTCCGGACCGTCGTGGTCTGCCAACACTACGGCTGCCTCGCTGGACCCCCGGAGCTGCTTGCCAAACTGAAAACCGCAAAATCAGGCCGCAAGCCCCCGGAAGCTTGAGGATCTGCGATACCAACGTGAACGATAAGTCGTAACCCCGGCGCATCGAAAAGAACGCCGACGAAAACAAAGCGACGTCCCTGGTCAATGCGAGGCGGTCCCCCAGCTGCGGGGCCACCTGCGCACGCGACCGCATGTCCCGCAAGAGGTCTAGCAGCGTGTGTGCCAGCCAGGGCTGAGCCTGATTCACCGAAAATCCTACTTTCCTCTGTTCTTCCAAAACAAAGGGAAGGTACGAGTCTACCAGCGGGCTGGCACACGGGTTGCCCAGCTGGCGGACCGGGTCCCATTCCTCCCCCTGTCCATGCTACTTCATGGCCATCTTCAACTTGCAAAGGAATCCTTTTCGCACGGAGTCAGCGGCGTACGGTTTTGGGCACAACGAACCCGGCAGGCAAGCATCCGCCCGCGCGGAAACCACACCCGGGCACGACTTGGCGTGGACAAACTTGGTCCCTTTTCCCTGGACACCCAGAAAACACAGAAAGTCAAACACGTCGTCCGGGGTAGCGGTCTCCCAACCACGGCGCCCCCCGGACACACTGAGCACGAACGCGTCATGCAGATTGGGGACTGGAAGACGGAGTCGGTGGCGCGGCACTACATCCATCTCAGTTTCGCCTCTCTCTGTGTGTTTGGTGTGAGGACCATCATTATTTTGCACAACCCCCCCCCTCGGGATAGCGTTGGGAAAAAAAAACTAACCCCCCCTCGGTACGTCAATTTTCCCCCGGGAGGGTTGGTTTCAGAAAAAAAAACGATCCCCTCCCCGGGTGGAAAACTCCGACGTTTACGGTATTCGATGAGATCCGTGGTTCCATCATTTGTTCCAAATCTTGGAACCATCCGGTCTGATGGGAATTTTACGACAGGAACAGAGCAGTACTCGGTACCAAGAAGAGGAAACGCCTTATTGTATTTCGCCGCCGACCTACAGTTCAAAACCAGTAGGCAGAGGGGTAAAGGTATATGGATAACCCGCGTCGGCGAAGACACCGACTTTGGACATAGATCAGCAACGCTGCATGGCGGCAGAAATCGCCCTCACAAAGCTGAACACCCTCACAAAGCTGAACAACATCTGGCAATGACTGTGACGGCACGAAATGGTGTGAGTAGCGAGATGTCCCTATCGTTTGCCATGCAACTACTTTGGATGTACGGGTGCACAGCGGCGGGCACCTACAGCAGTAAACTGCTCTGCTTCGGAGTCGGCAGAAAGTCGGTGCTGTTGAAGTCACACTTGCAGCAATAGTTCCCCACATACGAAGCTCCGACCATTCACTTTCATGCACACCATCGATGGCAAGTGACTTCACAAAGGTGTGCTCCTCAGGGTGGTAGCGGTACCCGTGCGAGCAAACTACTGCTCCCGTCTCTGGAGTATGATACATGCATACAGCAAGGAGTAACAGAGTAGACTTCTACATGTACAAGGAGGCATGCGGAGAGAACATAGCACATTGCCCGGTAGTTTGAAACTAAAAACAGCTATTTACCTCACCTGGTCTTCCGGCACCATCTGACGTAGAATCAGGATAACCCATCCCGGTCGCTGGTAGGCACCAGCGTATCGCCCTCCTCCCTCTCTGCTCTGCGCTCTGTCCGGCAGCGGGTCTGGGGCATCTTGCGGCCTCAGCAAGGGGGGTACGCGATATCGCAGCGTGGTATGTGAGAAGGTTCTGATAACATGTCCGAAACGGCATTCAGATGCCGCTCAATTTTTTTGTGACGCATGGAGGTCACATCAAACGCACACACACGCACGGTGGCCTCTCTCCCTCTCTCTCCACTTCGAACATATTCCAGACCCGTGGGCTCGTCCTCCCCTCCACTGTCCGTGTTCTCTGCTTCAGACACTGGCTAGAGCTACGAACTGCTGCGTCACGGCTGACCACTTTGAGAACCCTTGTTGAAGTCCTCCTACTACAATAACATTCCGCCGAGGGCACCTTCGCTTACCTTCGCGTGTACCGTACTTCAGTGGGACAGACAGCAGCGGAAAGCGCCAACAGCAAAGAGCCGTGGCCGAGGATCAATCTCTAGGACCCTGGCGGGAAGGCCACCAAGGTTGTTTCCCGTATCTGCCCTCTTAACCCTCTGTGTGTCTTTGCCAACTCCCGCTTCCGTCTCTTCTTGGCATTTTTTGTGTTCTTGAAGACGGGGCGCGAAACGCTCGTCGTCCACCTCCTACAGCAGCAGCAGCAGCAGCAGCAGCAGCAGCAGCAGGAAAGCTATCTGCTGCGCCTGATTGTGGGTCGTTTGCTTCCCGTTCTACCTGGAGTGCTGTCAGTTTTAGTTAGCCAGGCAACGACGCAGGTGAGCCGGACCCTTTGTTGTATTCGGATGGTTGTTTTTTGCTCTTTGGTTTGTTGTTGTTGTTTCTCTCACATTTAGCTCTTTAGACTAGTCCACGATGGGGAGCCCGTGGTCGAAAACCCGGCACATACAAAAATAAAGGCAAAAATAAATTTGGGTAAACTCTCAATTGTAAACTCTCATCTTCTCGTTTTCACGTAGAATACAAGACCACACGAACGCAGGATCGATACTACTCACTCACAGAGTGCACCAGCACCCACTTACTGTAGACCCCTTCGTTTCTTAGCAAGCTGTTCCCTGGGGTTGGGGATGGAGACAAAAACTGCGGGAGTAGCCCGTCGAGTCAGGCATGTGTCGTTGTTTAGCCTGTAGGCACGCCATATCCGGAGGATTGTTGAATTGCTTACTCCGATGGTGCATCCCTTCGCTGTAATATACTACAAGCTCGCACCTGCTAATGTGTACAACAGTATTTGCGTTTACATCAGCATCCACTCTTCGGTACATGCAGGTTACAGGCGTAGCACGCACTGTTGGAGAACACCAGTGACTGACTTTCAGGTGCAAATCCTAGAATATTCCCTGCACCTCTTGCTCGCATTGTGTTGTTCACGTGTAGACTAAATGCTGAAAATTCCGAACGGGCGGTTTATCCTGTACTCTTTGCAATCCAACGAACACCATTTTACAGCATGACATCCACGAACGCATTCTGTTGTCCATGGTGCAAAGGTAATGGAGTACTTCTTGGGTTTCTCGCAACCGATTTACTCTCTCGCCTCATGCGCGGTACACGCGTTTGAGCAAGGACCAATCAAGTAGTTTTTTCGTCAAGTGCCGAGACTTGGACCGTCGTTTCGGAGACCACGACGCAGTTTCTTCACGACAGCTGTGTTCATGATCGCAATCCAGCACACACTGGTGTAGACGCTTCCAATCAACACTCTAGGTCTCCGCATCATTTTTTACACAACAATGATGACGGTACTGAAGAGCGTTAGTTCCACTCCAACAACGGTATTTACCTCCAGCAAGTTGAAAGACAATATTCAAGGTTCGTTCCTACCTATGGAGGCAGAAACGTAGTAGCACACCACATCCCGAATAGTGTTTCCCCCCGGCGCTTTGTTGTTGATGCAGCAGAGACTTGCACGGGATGTTCCGAAACTTGTACCCTGTAGTTTTTCTCATTCAGGTTTGCATGACTGCTTTCTCAAAGTAGGAACATATCAGGTGTAAGCATGTCCAGTGCCCAACAGTGTCCCTCATCCGTCACTGTGTAGACTTTAACACGTACATTCGAACAGGTTACACTCTCGAGCGGGTGTCCCTTGTTTGATGTTAGGTGTAGTTGGGCCTTGTGTGCGTCAGGCTCGGTGGGGTACACACACCAATCCTGCCTGCTCCATGCAGTTAACCGAAAGCGGAAATCACGCCGATAAACTGGACGCAACCAGCCACACAGAGTTCAACCGGAATATCGAGCACGGCTGACGGTAGACCCATTTCATAGTGTTTCTGCCTGTTCCAGAGCTGTTTTTCAAGTGTTTACGCGGTGATTTTACCACGGTGAAAATATTGTGTTTGCTGATGCGCCATCACTGACGCAACGTGGCACGCCGCAACGGCCGTGACCACATTTTTCCTAGCTGAGAGAATGAATATTTCTTCCCATCGCCTCGTGTTCGATTACGTCATCCCACGTACTGATTTGATTCTCCCCCGCCCCCTCCCCCGTCCTCGCCTTCGTCCACTCTCGCCGCCCTTGCAACACCCGCAAACTCTATTCGTAGATCGGTGAACTCTCCTTCCGTCGCGACGCTCCCCGAAAACCGCACCAAGAACCCTGAACCCGACCGCCGCACCTGCACCAAAATCCAGACCAAGATGGCGGCTTCTGAGCCGTTTCCGTCCTGTTCTAGGGCGTGCTCGGCTGGGGTGGTTCTCCTCCTCTCCGTCAGATCAGGCGACGCCGCTAAAACCAGGGCGCTTCTCCGCCGCCTCCCGTCGTCGGAAAACAGCAGCGATGACCGCGTTCCTCCGCTGCACCCGGATGCGACTCGCGATGCTCGCGGTCACACCTCTCTCCATGTCGCCTCGATCCACGACCGTTCTGAGATTGCTCGGCTCCTTATCGCCGCCGGCGCCTCCACTGAGTCAGTCGTGACCTCCGGCGCCAACGAAGGATTGACCCCCCTGCGACTAGCGGCGGAGCGGGGCCACCTATTGACGGTGCGGGCCTTGCTCGAAGCGGGAGCTGACACCACCGCGGAAGATGTGGTGGATCGCGCCACGCCCTTGCACGCCGCGGCGTCTGCCGGGCACACCTCTGTGGTCGTCGAGTTGATCCGGCGGGGCGGGGCGAAGCTCGAGGCTCGGGCCGTGTCCGGCCAGACCCCGCTACGGTGGGCGCTTAGCATGGGTCACGTCGGCGCTGCGGAGGCTCTCTTGGAAGCCGGCGCAGACCCTGATGCGCCGGACAGGCGCGGTGCCTGCTGCCTGCACACTGTGGCAGCTCTGAAGTCGGAGGAGGACGGTAGTAGTGCGTTTGCGGGGACGGGGGAAGGTTCTTCGTTGCCCGGAGACATGGCCCAGCTCCTCCTCTCTGCGGGGGCAAACCCTAACCTCGGACGCGCCGCGGGGCGCGCGGGTCGCATTCACCCGGGGAGGACCCCGTCGTCCACTGCCCTCACGCTTGGCAGCATTAATCAGAGTGGGAGCGGCGACAACAGTAGTGCTGCTGGTGCCCACGATGGCGGCGGCCTGTGGAGCGGAAGCGGAAGTGAGTCGAGTGCGTCCGAGTCTCCTCTCCACGTGGCCGCTCGAGAGTCAAATGTGAGAGTTGCTGAGTTGCTGCTCCTCCACGGCGCAGACCCTAACGCCAAGACCCCGATGAGGGAGGGGGGAATGTCGCCCTTGCACTGCGCCGCCTCCCGGCCCATCGTCCGGATGCTCCTGGCGGCGGGTGCAGACATCAGCGTCGTGTCCGCGGATGGGCTGACGAGCCCTCTGAAGCTCGCCTGCCTCAACGCCGCCGTGGGATGCGTGAAAGAGTTGTTGTCGTGGGGTGCCGATGACCTGTCTTGCGTTCCGCGGAGCACACCACCCTCTACGCTGCTGCTCTCCTCTTTGCCGTCGATCTCGGAGACGGCACCGCCCTGCCCCTCAAGTGTGCCGCTGTCCGAAGCTTCCGCCGCCCAGCGTATCAACGTTCCGCGCCTTGGCGGCCTCGTCGGGTCGCGTGTACCCGCTTCCGTGAGAGACGCGGCTGACTGCGAAGAGATTGTGCGGATGCTGTGCCAGGCGCCGGCAGACCGCGCTTGGAGGCGTCGAGGCTGGCTAGTCATGCTGTACGCCAGAACAACGGCGGCAGTTGCCGCTTCATCTACCTTGCGGGAACAGGTACCACCGCAGCAGCAGTGGGTGCCGTCGGCGAAGCGCAAGCGCGTTGTCGGGAAGAAGAGTGCTGTTGCGGAGAACGAAACGTCAAAAGAATCGGGGGCTGTGAAATTCCGCGACGTTGTTGGCCGCCTGTTCGAAGCCCAGGGTGACCAGTCTGTAGTCCGCCGCGTCATCGAATGGCTGTAAATGAAAACGCTAGATTGGTTTGTTTGGGGCAGGACTGTGAGCTACGGACGGTGCAATGAATTCAAAGTAGGCAACGGCAGTAGTAACGCTAGGAATGGCCTGACAGGGGAGTGGGCTCAACATCTTCCGGAAATCATCGCCGTGCCGTAGTCCTCCGGTCGCCGCGCTGAAGACCCTCGGCGGCCGGTTGGCGACACAATCACTGTAGAGGCATCCTGGGGGGCTGTACTGTGCTCGTTTAAGTTTCTTTCTCGGTGATTTCGTCCAACGAGCCGCACGGCATCGGTGCGGATGGTGGCTGTGGATGTCTGCCTGGGCTTGTAGGTAGACGGCGGTGTGTGTTGGAGCAGCAGCCACGGAGAAGCGGTTCTCAAGCGGCGCATACAGCGGAAGGACGGTTGAAAACGCCGTAAAGCTGGAACTCCAGCCCCCCCCCCCCCCCCCCCGCGACCCGTGTGTCTTTTTCGTTTTTCCTCCATGGTCACAAGTCTCCACCGTTCTGCCAATGCGGCGGAAGGTTTTCGCCGACGGCAACCGCTGTCCAATTCTACCCTTGGTCACACTCTGCACCCAACAACGGCACCGCGATGAGCGCCGTTCGACGCCCTCCTTCCCCCGAAGATCATCACCTTGCCGTTTGCACTGCTTTACAGGGGTGTGTTGTGCTTCCCTCCCGTTCAGGCTACCGCGGTTTCACAAATGGAGTGTCGTTTAGGTTCGCACCTGATGAATGGCGTCACCCCAAAGCTGAAAATGCCGCTGGAGTAACAGGCCTCTTCGAGCTTCACCAGAAACTACAACAACATCAACGTCAACCTCGAGGAGAGATAGCAGCGGCTGGAGCACCATGTACAGGACCATCGTCAACGGCAGCACCACCGAGAGCAGGAGATGTCCAAGCGGTTTGTATTTTTTTTTTTGTGTTGTTGTGAGGTGTTGCGCCCCCAAGTCGTGATAAGTTTGTTGTGTCAAGCTGGTGGGAGGGAGGGCAGGAGGAACAATGATAGATTTTGCTTTTTTATTTAAGGATTCTCCATCGTATGATAGACGTTGAAGAGAGATGTATGCAAGATGCTTGTTTACGGCATTGTTTATCCAGTCTGACATGTGCTGCTCGAAGTAGATATTGCGCGTGGCGGGGAAGCGCTGTTTCGATTATCTGCTTGCGCGCCACTGCGAAAGCATCTGACATTGAGAAAATACTGCTGCGGTAGGAATGTACAAGACATGTGATCTAGCCGCATGCCGCTGTGAGACCAGCAGAGTTACTCGAGCTGGAGGGGGATTTTCTAAGGGGCGATGGGAAAAAAAATGTATACTTGTAGTATGTTTTGGGTGTTCTCAGGCCCCGATTCAATAGTCTTGGCCTCGCAAGGTTCAAGAGTAAACTAATCTGGACATGTCAGGACGAAAATGAGCTGAGTTCAGCATAGGTTTGCAGAGCTTGCTTGACAGGCGGGGAACGGGTAATAAAGGGCTTCAGTGGTTACAACGGGGGGTTGACACGTTTGTTACATAGGCAGTTTTACGTATGCTGTTGAACCTGTACCTGATGGGAGGTCATTTTAGCGTTGTGTCAAACGCTTTTTTGAAGTCAAATGTTCCTCGAGCAAAGTTGTTGCCATGTAGAATGTACATGTCATGAAAGAAACACAACCCGCCCGAGAAAAACGTCCCGACATGTGTTGAGTTCTTTTCAGCGACGATTGAGGGACAACTCTGCATATTTCACGTACTGGAGTTGACGTGAAGGCTTCAGGACCGCCGAAACTTTGAACTAGTGCTTGCAATGTACGGAAGTAGTTTGTTTCTCTCATCACCCCTGCCTGCGCCACACTCTTCAAAACCGGGTGACCTGCTCAACCACACACGGCCACGGCGTAACATCGAACGCATGCGTGGCGGCCAATGTCAACGTAGAACCAAGACAGTCCTGGCCCAAAGGAGCAGAGTAGCAGTACCGGTCTGGCCGCCACCAGCTTTGCTGATACAGTTCGTAAAAGGGGTGGGACTTTGGTTCATGAGAGGGCGTTTTTACGCCCCTTCGGTACCCTCACCGCCGAGGCCCGTTTGCACGTTTCGGCACTTTCACGCGAGCAGATTTGGAGCGCGAGTGTCTGTGGTGACCGTCTCGTGCATGCCCTTACACTATCGCCGAAATGTCGCCCTAAAAATCACCAATGTAGCGCTGGTCTTGCACGGCAAAAAAAGTGCAAAACAAAAGATGCGTGCGCGTGAGTGTTTGCAACAGATGGATGGTATGCAGGTGCACATGCAGGTAGGTGCAAAAAGGAGGCGCACCTCGGTAGTGCACTCGGCCGTATATTTGGAATTCGAAGCACGTCGTACTTCGTGTCTCATTTAGTTCGCATGTCGCCACACTATGCGCGCTACTGGGGTGTCCTTCCAGTGCAACACATGTCACCGAACTACCGCACGCCACACTCCACCTAGGACCTAACTAACTCGGCGCACATCACGCTGGCGATAAGGGCCTCACATCCAATTTCCCTCATCCTCTTCTCCCCATCCACATCAACGATGGTGCACGAATTCTCTCCGCGGATGCTCGTGACTTCATCGCAAAAAAATCGAAGAGCGAGGGGCAAGCCTCGAGTTTACCCGATACATCTAAATACATACCCAATGTACACTGTCTGACCATGACTGCTTTTTACAACGTTTGGGTCTATCGAAACTCCTGTGCACAAGGTCCATTTCGAGCGCCCCTCTGTACAAAACCCTACCCGTGTACCGGGATCGCCACAACGCCGGCACGTGCTTGCCAGCCTTTCTTGGTGCGTGCTGCTGGTACTGCAGGGAAACCCTCGCGGGATGGCGTGACCTGGTGACGTCAACACAACCTCCCTCTCCCCTGCAAACTATTATAGTCTTAACCTACGGCCTGGGGTAATAGGCACCACCACCACAAGGAGACTTCTACAACAAGCGCACATCGATCATGCCTCAACACACGGGTCGCCGACAACCGTCACGGGTTCACGATAACCGTGCAGCCATCCGATAACCTTCTCCAACCCTTCATCGTCGGGAATGAACACGTTTTTGTCTCTACTCGAAAGCGGCCACATCGAGGCTGTCCTGGCCGCATGTGTCGTCGTGGGCTACGACGGCGGGGGGGCACGCCACCTGAAGAGCAAGACACCGGGGCGGTTGGGTTCATGTTCAATGAGGGAAAATGCATTGTATTGCAAAGCAGTAGTACCGTCAGACAACGACGCGCAGCGTTGAAAAAACCACAGCAGCACGTCTTGTGAACCATGCACGCCTTAGAAAAGTGCAACAAGGTGCGACGGGCTTGATTGTCTGGTTTTGCTTCACGCGTCGAAAAACAAGCATCACAGAAAAGCATCAGCGAAGAGACAACAACGGGAAAAAAAAGAAAAAACACCCATACCAAAGGCAGGGGGTGGGCACGACGAGACAAAACCTCGACCTACAAGAACAATTCCAAACAAGCAAGCACATCGATGGAGACTTTGTCACGGGAAACCGCACTGTACCTGTTCTCCAGGCAGGTGGGTCTCCGGGTCCGGTTCGAGGCACAGGTACACCTGGTTCAAGTGCACCTTGCCCCGGCAGTCCAAGACCGCCATTCCTTCGCCACCGTAGGCATCCTCCAGATCAACCCTGCCCAACGTCGAAAGGAATTCGTTCAACAATAAGGTACAAACCAAGAACGATGAAAGGATTAGTTCAACAACAAAATACAAACCAAGAATGCCGAAAGGGATTTTTTCAATAACTAAGGTACAAACCAAGAACAATGAAAGGAATTTTTTCAACAACTAAGGTACAAACCAAGAACAATGAAAGGATTCGTTCAACAATAAGGCACACGCCCAATAGAGACGAAGTGATTGTCCAACAACAATGTACACATTGGTGCCTTTCTAAGCAACAAGCCGAAGTACAGGGGGCACTTTTCCTGTGTGCAGTCGACCTCAGAGAAGGCGAAACTGGCCATCAGAAGCATCATCATACTTCCCGACGCACACACGGGCGGTGGGGTTTGTGGTATCATGGCCACGTGATTCCGAGCTAGCGCACCTGGTCGTCTGTCCCCCTACGTTCTCCGCCAGCTGCGGAGGGGTCAAGAACCGCCGCTGTAGGAGCGAAATAGCCGTGGAAAAGTACTCCTCCTGTGGAACGGTCCGTGGAAAAACATGCCATGGGGAAAAACGGCGATGCGGTTACCACCCGACCATGCCGTGCAGCTTGACCGGGACAATGCCCGAACCCTTCGCGTAGTACAATTCTGCAGCAGTGGAATCAGCAGCGACGCCGACGAAATTGGTGTACATGAGACGCTACCAAACTACCCCACGAGGAACGCGACACGATTGTTTCCACAAACGACGGGATGCGATCCCTGGCACGTTAGGAGTGCGGAAGCTGTCACCGAACGCGAAACAGCTGAAGTAACAAAGCCTGCGCACTGAGCGGTGGCAGCCACGGTGCATTCATCGACCACGGCGCATCGATTGTACACAAACGCAGCAAAACAATCAAGGCAAGGCACCACGACCGCTACACAATGACCGGAGACAATGTGAGCGACCGCTAAAAGTTCAGGGTGTTCAAGTCCGGTGCGGTGCCCGACGTTTCTGCTGCTGGACCAGGACGATGTCAAATCGTCATGCTCAACCTTCCATGCTCCAAACTTTTCGGCTGCTGTAGCATACGATAACGATAATCATTCCATCGCGCGCGCGTTCCTTGCTACAGCCGCCGCCGTTAATTCACAAGCGTCGACGCTCACCATGCTCAACCCGGTGCAAGTCCCGTGCTTGGTCCACTCGTGCTCCCAGAAAGAGTCGTACTTCTTGCCAGCGAACTCCTCAGGCACCTAATTTGAGTTTCGATCGGGATGAACAACAAAGTCATGTCCGTTGATACAGCAGTGAGCTGAACTATGACAGCGCATCGAAAAACATTGGCTGAAGCAATGCATTTCACGTCTAGCTTGCCAGAACCCTAATGATCCATCTGGATGGGCCCTCGTCGTAACAGCACATGTGAGAATGATGCTCTCTCTAGGCGAACTACTCAGGAATATTGTAGCCGTCGCACGTCTTGCCATCGAATTCTCCATCCATTGTCCTCCATGCGATAGGCGATGCCATGCCCCTTCCCAGGAGTATTTACCATCGAAATGTAAAAAAAATGTCAACCATTCCCCGTCGTCCAGGGACCCCAGGCCCGAAGACTTGGGTACAGGTATGGGAGGGGGCGGGGGCGGAGGTAAATGATACCGGCACAACGCACAATGCTATTATACCTCCTGGCGTAAAGAGCGATTCGTTTAATTCGATCTGTTCGCGTCGGGTGCGACTTCTCGAGGGTCCCAAGCACAGGTCCCTACCTGGATCTTGAACTTTGTCCTGATCCCCCCCCTCCCCATCCAATATCTACCTGCGTGCCCCCTCCCCTATATTATTATACATACCTGAATGTTTGGCCACATCGTTTCGAGGACATCGAGTCCGATGGCGTTAACTACCCGGTCGTGGTCGTACGGCTCCGAAGAGCACGTCGTAGGATACCTGCCAACCAAAAACAAATCAGCGAGCGCGGGAAAAAGGTGGAAGGGCGGAGGAACAGGATTTCGGGTCTTGATGCGATAGATACGAAAACCCGGGCGTGCAGTACCGCAATCGTGGCGTAAGCCCGATGAGGATTCATCACGCACGCGACACGAACAAGACGGACGGACGCACTTCAAACACCGCTACTGCTGCACTTGAAAGCCTCGAGGTGAAAAAAGAGAGATTCGATAAAGTCCGAGCGCCGGAAGCATCCTTCTCAATGAATGGCGCTTGTGCCTGAAACTGGAACATTTGACGCACTTCAAACAGCGCTACTGCTGCACTTGAAAGTCTCAAGGTCAATCGAGAAACTCGAGAAAGTCCGAGCGACGGAAGCATCCTTCTCAATAAATAGCGCTTGTGCCTGAAACTGGAAAATTTTCCGCCAACGTTAGCGTTTCATGGTTATCTCTGGCTGCTTCGACTCACGTTCCGTCTCCGTAGTCAGGCCAAAGCCCGTGGATCGTCAGGTTCTTTTCCCAGAAACTTCTCGGCTTCTTGCAGCCCGGGAAGTTCTGGTGGTAGCACCTGCACAGCAGTGTAGCCGAAACGAAGCTAGCCTCAGTTGGAGGCGAGGCTGACCGCCGAGTTTCAAAGCGCTGTGACCGATACCGCTATTTGTCAAACCAAGAACAATAAAAGGGCTATGATCCGTGGAAGAGATGAATTTGTCGTGGTGTTTGTGAGAAAAAAAACAAAAAAACGAAGCTCATCTCACCATTCCGCCTTCCAGCTCATGGCGAAGATGTACAGGTTGAAGTCTCCGGGTGTGCCCCCCGTCACCACGCGCCACAGCTCTTGGATGCCTCTGCCGTCGCTCTTGCCTTCGCTCTCGAGGATACCGCCGTCCACCAAAGGTGGTTGGAACCCTGTAGATGTTCCCGAAAACACGTTTAGTTTGAGTTTGAGTCGTGAATTACCGGGCGAGCACCGAATGCTTTAGTGTAGTTGGTTGTACTTTGTTTACCTACGTTGTGTGCGTCTTCATGGACAACCGACACGGTGTGTGACGCAATCGAGTGGGGTAGCTCTCAACACCCACTACCATCGCTATTAATAGTCAAACATAGGCACCTAACACAAAACTACACTGCCTGCAGCATGGATCTTCTTCACAAGACTGTCACTATCTATGGACAACCGCCCAATTGTCTCTCACCTTCGACTCCGTTCGTCACCACTGCCTTGAACACCTCGGTCATCTCGGCCTTTGCGCCTTCCGCCGCACGGGGCATCATGTCAGGACCCCGGGAAGCCGCCGCAGCGGCCACGGCAGCAGCAGCAGACAGCACCACCAACAGGGACGACATCGGCCCCGACCGGTGTGCTACTCCTTTCGAGCGCCCCATTTGTACCGCTAACGCTGCCGCTGTGGTCGCTACTGCTGCTGCTTGTGCTGCTTCTGCTGGTGCTGGTGCTGCTTGCTGAAGTTTGTTGTTGCCTCCGCGTCGGCTTGCCTATTTTTTTTTCAGTTGAGGGCGGTAAGGGAGCAAGCAGGCTGTTACATGATTACCTGTCGCGAGTGGCAGCAAACCACATTGCGCACTACACGGCACGAAACATGAATGATACCACCCCATTATCCCCACACCCTGTAGGGTGGTGAAGTGGAACACCGGTGCGGCTGCTCAAACTCTTTCCCCCCGGCTGGTATTGAATGCAAAATGCACCCGCTACAAGGCAGGAAGTAAGGTTAGCAAGTAGTCACAGCAGTGTAGCATCTATACTCCCGCCAAGGTACCGAAACTATTGCAGCGGCAGCCGGCGTTGAGAGAAGGGGATCGCCCCGGCCTGCCGTGCGCGTGAAGAGACAAGGGCAAGACGTAGAACACCTCAACAGAGACGTACCGTAATTTATGCATAAAAAGGGGTACCGGAACTATTGCAGCGGCAGCCGGCGTTGAGAGAAGGGGATCGCCCCGGCCTGCCGTGCGCGTGAAGAGACAAGGGCAAGACGTAGAACACCTCAACAGAGACGTACCGTAATTTATGCATACCCCAAAATGCCCAAAAAAAACAGTTTTTCATGCGTTGCACTGATGGTAATGTCTACTGCCGTTCATCTACAACCTTTTCTCGGGTCTTCATGCTAACATTACGCATCGCATGGCCGAGAACGGTGCTCTGCCGAGCTTGAAATGGTGTATCACAGCAGCAGAGGAACCATCGTGAACAGCAGTATCGAGCTTGCGCCGACACTCGACACAAACTCGAAACAGCATAACTGGTACTTTGGGGTCTTCGATTTTACGCTCACTACTTTACTTGTTAATACTTCCCGGGAGACTCAACAGGTGATTGAATCGGTGCGTGCTATCCCTTGGCTGCTTCCTCTCACCTTCCAGCGTTAAGTTGACGATTCTCGCGGTCTTTTAGCAGTGTTGTCAATCCGTCTGCTGTCTGTCTGCTGTCGGTTGGAACTGCCCACGTCTGTTGGGTTGTGTGCTAGCGCAGGTCAGTGGGAAGAGGAAGGAAGAGGTACAAAGGGTACCTTGCGCTTGAGAGATGATCCACGGAGCTCCTTCTTGAACTTGATTTGCTTGCGTGTTCTTGTTGTGTGTTTGGTGCCACAGCCTAGAGTGGCGGAGGGCCGGGCTTGCTAGGCTGCACCGCCGGCGGGTGCGTGCTGGCAAGGAAGTGGGGTGGCGTGTGGTCTATCGGATATATCGGATAAGGTGCGCGAACTTGTGTTTCCCTTGTTTTCTGAACGTGAATTCTATGTCAAAGTTACCAAGTTTGCGCACATTTTTGTCACGCCGTAAAATCGTAGCCGTGTCATGTTCTCTCAACAAGACCGAATGACGAAAGGCTTGGTTTGTTGTGTTCTCTGGGTTGTCGGGTTGAAATAAGGGAGCTCGAGCGCCCTGTTGGGAAAACCGGATGATTATGGCAACGCCACCAGCCACGCTATCTGAGCGCGTCTAGGAATTGTCTTGGGTGATGCCGAGATTCACGACATATCTGCTGTAAGCACACGTACATTGCCTTGACATTCAACCGCACCAACGCACGCTCAGCTGTCTGTGCACAGCTCTATCTTAGGTACGCGTATGTAGAACGCACGCTTTTATGTTTGTTTGTTTCCAACCATGTGGGGGTCGTGGTGGGCTCTGGCTTTCGTGTCAGGCTTTCGTGCCAGGAGGGCAGCAATGACAACATATCGCCCGGTCAAGAGTGGGACATTCTTTAGGACCTTACACAGTAGTATTATAGTCGTCACTGGTGTGCCAAACCGCGCTCAACGGGTCGGGCAGACAGAACGGTAGAGACGACTACAGCGTGGATAGTAGATTACGAAGTACTTCGTGTTGGACAACAAATAGTTCTCCCCCCTCCAATTTCGTGGTTTGTTGTGTTGCGGCGTTGGTCCGTCGCTCCGTGTGCTGCTACAACAAGGCTACACAGGCCTACGGCGGGGTGTTAGGCGCCGGGAGCATGCATAGGGCTTCTGTTAGCGTGGGAAATGGTGAACCGTGCGCAGAGGGGAGGGACGCTTTTTGCGGTAATCCCGGCGTTACGATCGAGAGCAAAACATGCCGGGAAACCATGAGTCCTGTTATGGTAGTTGCACGCGGAAGCTGTTGTTGTTCACTGTTCACGGCCTGCATGATGCGGATGACCCTCCACCCCCCCTTTTATCTCCCACTCTGTGCGTTCCCACGGGACCATCATCACACATATAGGAGCGAGATACTGCTGTAGAGGGGCTTCGTACGGCACGGCGGCGATGGTTTCTTCTGTCCCCGCCCCCGACAGAGGGGGAGGCACTGCCGGGGGCGGGGGCAGGAAGGACAAGGCGCACGGCATACCCCGGTCGTCCTTTATGCAGGTATTGTATTGTAGGTAGGCGGTACGTATTGGGTGTTCACGATGCTATCCCTGCATCAGTTGTACATGTAGCCTTGGCGAGTATGTCAAGCTTGGTTGTTGGTAGGGGTTTACGGGTCAGGGTTAGGGTTGCGAAACCTCCCTCTCAATTTCGCACGTATAGCTTCTTATCCTCGCGGAGGTGGTCTCCCTGCATCTATCTCCCCAACCAGGATGTCTCAGGGAGCTGATGTGTAGTACTCGACGTGATGTGATTTCGCCTGGCGATATCGCGGGGGGGCTTGGACTGAAGCCTCGCTTGTCGATTTTCTCCAATCTTGAAACATAGGAATAACTGTTTTAACCGCAGAATGTCCTATTCCCACCTGGTAGGGGTAGATGGATATCTTCGTTGTGCTGGAGGACTCGTTTTTGGGTTATTTTCGCCTTTTCCCACTGATATTGTTGGTTTTTGCGATTTGCTGCGTGTACATGCATACGACCTCCGAAATTTTGGGGCAACCCCCCATGACACGCGTACTTGTGCTTGCCGACGTGCTTGAGCAGGTCCCTCTGTCGATGCAGAGCGAGCAGCTGTCGAGGGGGAGGAAGGTCTTCGAGGAGCTGTCGTCCTATGCAAAGTGAGCTAGATAGCTTTCCCAGGCGTTCTCCTAGCAATACCCCACCGGTACTGTAGCTGTCGTTCGACTCCCCTTGCGTGGTCTTCGCCCTTTACGCGGTCAAGGGCAGTAGGGATTGGATTGCATGCTAGATAGCCAAGGACTGCTGAATCGGACACCGCTGCTCTCTGCACGGCAGTCTGAAAGTTCTGCTCTCCGGAGATGAGAAAGCTAGCTTCCTGTGCTCTTGACTCGCCACCCGTTGGCGTATCAGGCTGCGCAGTTGCGGCTGCCTCGGATCGAAGGGGCGTGTGCGTGCCAGGGCGTTGTTGCAACAGTAGTTGCCAATCTGGCCAGGCAGGTCGTGGGGTCTGTACAGTACCCGCGTGAGAAGGGTGTTGTCAGGGGGAAATTGAAAACTCCAAACTTGTCTGTCTGCCGTCCGTGTCAGGAATCTGTTACCAGGTTTCTCCTGAACGGGATTTTTGTGGCCTCCATCCGGGTCTTGCATACGTACGTGTTCTCGTCTTGGTAAAGCAGGGGGCAGCACTCACCCAGCAGCCCGCACGCCATACTACCGTTTGGTTCCTCACCTCACACCCTATCGTGCGTGTCCGTGTTGTCTTGTTCTCCAATTGTTCAACAGGGACAAGTTTCAGATCGAGGACATGACCGCGCGCGGGCTGCTTCGCGCCGGTCAGTTGGGTGCTGCTGCGGAGAACGAGGTGTGTTTTTGTGTGTGAGGCGTACCGTCGGTTGCGTAGGATTCCGCCATGGACGGTGGTGGTAATTGGCTGGGGTTCGTTGGTGCATTTTTTCTCTTCGATGGAAGTAGGAACTGGTTAGAGGTATGTTAGGTATGAAGGGCAGTACCGATTGCTTTGGTTTGGTCGATGCGCTGATAAGAGGTACTCCTACTCGTACATTTGTTTTGTTTTGGTATGCTAGGTTTGCTTTCGACAACGATGAAACTATGAGTGCGCTTGGTCTCTCCGTAAAATCGAAGAGATGGGCTTGAAACGAAGAATTAGATGTTCAGGGACGCCCGTCAGACGAGACCAAGGCTCGCCTTTGAGCTCGATGACAACTGCCTTCGTGCGATACACAAACCACCACATTGCTCACGTCTATACCTGCTAGTGTCGAGGTGTACTCGGCCCCCACCCCCGCACCCCCACGTACGCCAAACCTCAAAGCAGTGCGCCTACCCCCCCCCCCCCGCAATGCCTCTACGAACAACCGCTCACCTTGCCACACTGCTCGTTTGAACATCAGGTCGCTGGGGGGAGCCTCCAGCAGGGCTTGTTGATCTTGAGACATTTTTCGGCCACCGAGAGTCGACAGCATTCAAAGCTTGCCCGACAGATGCAAGAACAGGTAGTGATGTTTTCCTCCTTCCACGGCGCGGTCAATGGTCTAGCCGTTAAGGTTTGCAAAACATGAGTACGCCCAGCCCCCCCCGGTCCACTTCGTGCCGCAGTATGTTGTTTTTGCCATGTGTGTGTGTGCATTGGTCCCCTTCTGTTGGTAGCGCGAGTTTAGTCTAGCCTTGTCGGTGTCTGTTTGAGGGGTACAGACGGGGTCTCACACAGAAGGAAGGGAGACAAAGGCGCGATGTTGTGTTTTTCTGCTTCGTTTTTTTTTTGTGGTGTTGCGTTTTGTTTGGTGTGCTGTTGTTGGCACCGTTTTGGTACCGCTGCCCAGTCTGGTGCCGCTTTCCTCGGGTGCGGAATCACTTGGGTGTCGGGAAGATCATGCAGAATATGCATGATCCGAGGACGATTGGCCAACCCTATACCTTCAGTAGACCCGCTACAGCAGTACGATGTGCCTCCGGATTGTTTCGGCGATGATACAGGATTTCTTCTTTCCCCGAATGATCCAACAATTTTATGGTGCAATTAAACTAAGAGAAAAAAAACGCACACATTTACATTTGTGTCTTTTTGTTGCGCAGGCATAGGCATCACGTGTGGAGGGCAGATTGCGCGAATTCCCTCGTTTTTTCGTCCCTTCGACCTTCCCGCTATGTTTCTAACAGAATTCTGCGTGTTTTTGTTTGTTGATGTTGCCTTTTGGCTCCTGCTTTTTGCAGTTTTACCAGCCGCTGGAGCAAGCTATGGCCAGGCATGCGGAGCTGGTGATGAGGGCAAAGGTCGGCGTGCAGAGGTCGGCCCAGCTCGTGCAGGAGACAGAGACCAGGCTAGCGAAGGTAATTTGACATAGTACACGCTGGAGTCGATGCAAAGGCTTGCGGTAGTCGCTGCCGCTGCCGCTGGTATGGTGCTTGTGCGTGGGTGGCTGTAGCAGGCGTTGCCTGTGACGCGAGGAAATACCGCAACATCATGGTTTGGACTACGATTCCCGCAGATGAAGCTGTGGGCCTTGTACATCTCCCCCTATCTAAGACGCATTTGATGAGGACTAAGCACTCAATGTATATTCCAAGACGTACATGCCCCCCCCCCCCTCCCCCGCCTTCGTTTCTCTCTCTACATGGCAGGCGAAGCGGCAGGTGACGAGGGCGCTAGGAGACGAGAAGGTGAGACATGAGATGATGATGATGCTGCTGCTGCTGCTGCTGTTGCTGCTTTCAACGCCGGCTGATTGCTGGTCGCGTTTGTTGGATTCGCTTTTTGTGGTGTTGCCTATGAGGGGCACTTCATCCAGTCGAACGTGACTTGCGATTTTTGGGTGTTCGACTGCGGCACCGCATTAAGTTTCGTCTTGCGGTCCTTGGTGATGAAATTTCATAGTGTCGCATGCCATATGGTTTATCTCTCTCGTGTTTTGGATGCATCAGGGCCAGCGTGACTCTTTGACGAAAGGAATCAATGACGGGCGGAGCAGCCAGAAGGATATCGACTGGCTCATGGGAAAGGTGAACGTTTTGATGTTTGATTGCACTTGTGGTGTTGTTGTTGCTCTGTTTTTTGCCGGCGTTGTTGTTGCTAGGTCGTCGTCATCGTTGTCGTTATATTTCGTGGTATTGTCATCGCTAACAGTGTTGCTGCTCAAGGAAATGTATCAGTAGTGTTCATAGTGGACATGCGGTGATGTGTAGTATGGTATTGCTACGGTATACGGTACGGTACGGTACGGTACGGTACGGTACGATACTACCAGGGGCACTGCGATACTTTGGCCCCCCCCGCCCATCCTTCAGCTGTCTAGTTGCCTATCTCCTCCTCATTGGCTTGGCTTTTTTATTCTTGCTGTGACCTCGCGTTTGTTTTTTATTGCGACAGGCGTCATCGGGCATGCAGAGTCCGTACGCCACGCGGAAGCGCTGGTGGCAGGAGAACGGCACATTCTCCTTCAGGTATTGTATTGTATGCACATATAGTACGCGACACTGGGGGGGGGGGGGGGGGGCCCCAAAGGTTGGCAAAACTTTTAGGGGGGAAAGGGGAACCCCAATTAGACAAAAAAAAAACGGCCGGGGCAGGTCCCTCAATTTTTTTTTTTCACCAAATTCCCCCAACCTTCATGGAGGGCCCCTCCCCACCCCCCACCCACTGCGCAGTCACAATATTCTAACAAACACAACCATCCCCACACCTGGAACGAGTAAGAACAATACACCCTGCACCAA